AAGCTTGCGCACGCGACCGCCTCAATGGTCTTCAACCTTAAAACCACGCGTTATAGTGGGAAGGGGGTCTATTTCAACTCGATTGGTCCCCTCCAAAGAAAAATACTCGTATTCTTTTGTTGCCGTTTTGGTAGCACCCCCTACTATACCGTGCACGACCCGGTCCATCGATGAGAGGAGCTCGATGAAGTGCGCGTCGGTTGATCCGCACTTTAACCGTCCACTCGGTCCCAGTCAAGTTTGGATTCGCATGCTCCAGCGGCTCTACGTGGGGCGGCTGCCCGAGGATACCGGTATGACCAAGGCCGAGCTTGTCTCGCGCTTCGAGCGCTTCCTCACCAACAACGCTGACCTTCGCATCGACGACGTCCAGCTCATGGCCAACTCGGCGGCCAAGGACTTTGCCTACCCCCAAGTGTCTTTTTTCACTCTGACAGCAATGGGCGATGTCATTTCAAACATGATGGTGTCGGCCAAGTGGTGTCGGCGTCCTGGAGTGGTGCTTCTCAGTTGGCACTACGATCTTAGTTTAGGGTGCATCTTGGATCGCATCTCGCTGTCACTCTACGCTTCACGCTACCTTGCATTCCGTGGTGTCCAAAGCGCCCTCTACTGATGTGCCAAAGTTTGACCAGATCATTTTCAAACGCAATCTGGTAGACCTGGCGATGGCTTCGATTGAATGCAACGGAACCTTCAAAAAAGTACGAAAAATATCCCGTGTACATTTGGTGTTGAGTGACATTTCTGTTTGCATCTAGGTGCTGATTATTGAGCTACCGCGATGTGATGTGTACGAAGAGCAATTTGTGGGCAGCTACCTCTCGCGCCTCAAACATGTGGCTAGAAGCGTCCACGAGCCATGCGACACGTCAAAATCGCCGACGCACGAGTACTTGGGCACACCTAAATCTGCTGCGTCGACATCGCCTTGGCGTCGTTGTGTGCCCTGGAGGGCACTCGCAGACCTGTGCTAATAGAGACCCGACAGTTTAGAGTTTCCGCTGTGGAGCTCGTGCCAAACGCCAAGAAGGATGGGAGGCAGACTGCTGTGCGTCGTTGTCGACACAAAGCGTACCTAGCAACTGTTGCGCTCGCAACGGCGACGCGGGGCGAACAATAGCACTTTTCCGAGTCAATGCGATAGAAGCCATGCATTAATCGGTCAACGGGAACGCGTGGCGTGATGCCGCGTACAGCGGATGATCTTCGGGGACGCGCCACGTCATCGGTAGCTCCACTGCGTAGATGCACCAGCGCTTGATGTCGAGTGCGAAGAAGCGGTTCTTGTGCCGATATGTCAAAATGCCGTTGAGCACGGCGGAGGCGCGGTCGAGGTAGTAAATGTTGCCAACCGTCCAGTGCGCATCAAAGAAGAGGTACTTGGCGCCCGCACAGAGCATGCGCGAGTCGCTGCTCGACGAAGACGATGCGGTGCGCAACCATTTCCAGGCGGTGAGGAAGCAAACCACGTTGCAGCCCACCACGATGCTGACAATCAGAATGAGGCGGTCCACATGGCCGATGACGATGTTGCCGCTATTGCAGACGACTTGCAAGTCGAGGTCGGCGAGGCTGCACGTTCTATCGATGGTGACTGTGTGCCCGACGGGCGAAAAGTAGCTGAGCGACGCGGTGATGAACCACACGAGGAAGCTGTTGGGTGTCGCGTAGTACGTTGTGTGCGCGCGCGTAAAGACCATGGCAACGTCGTTGACGATCGCGACAAGCCACGTGACTTCGGTCGCAACGAGCCACGTCTTGTACCACGCGTTGGGCGCCTCGACGAAGCGGCTGACATACCCCGAGTACGATAGCTCGATTGTGCCCGTTGCTAGCAAGGCCACGGCCGAGAGGCTTCGGATCGCGAGCAGCGGCCGACCGACCCATACCATGCCGCCGACGCGGTTGAGCTCGAGAAGGTTCAACGCCTCGACGTAGCCGCGCGCGACGTAAATATAGAGCTGCACGAGGCAGGCGATGCTGATCATGACGATCGTCACGTACGTCGCGACGAGGCGCGAGTACTGCGCGAGCTCGATCGGCAGTTCCCGCGCGGGTGCGTCGTGGGTCAGCGGTGCTTCGTAATCTGTGAGAAGCGTCAAGTTGCCGATGTCCCCGACAAACGCCACGACCTCCCGGTTCCCGAGGACCCAGTCGAACACAAAACACCACGCGAAAAAGTCAAACGATCGCGACGGCTGAAAGAGCGGTTGCGTCGTGAGCTGCAGCGTCGGTGTACCGGGATACCGCGCATATTGCATGAACGAGACGTTAAGCGAGTCGAGGTGTTGTCTCAACCCATCGCCGAGTTCGTCAGCGTCGCGGATCGCAGTCGGGAGATGCCATGTCACAAAGTCCGAGATTTGGTGCAGATACCCTGGACACGCAGCGAGATTGGTCGGGTCGTGCGCGCATATCGTTGCATACGCCGACGCGTTGCCAATGGTGTTGGCAAGCAAGGCCCCAACAACGAGGTGGT